TTTTAAACACTTTCTTTTTAGTTTTTTTTTTTCCCCCCCCCCCCCCCCCCCTACACACACACACACACACACTTTCTGACCATATCTTTTAAACACTGTAACATTTCTCTTCTCTTTTGATGAAGGCATTTTTGCTACCAGGTCTGCCATTCACTTTTGCATTCAAAGACATCAAATATTCAAATGTGATTACAATGATTGCTACCAAAATATATCATCACTCTGACTTACCGCCCTTGAAGAAGGTTGTCTTACTGGGGAGGAAGCCGGATCCATTTCTGGAACAGTCTAGAAAAATGACAAGTTTGAATTTTACTACATGATAAGATGTCTGAAGGAAAATATAACCTAAACATAAGTCTCTTCTTACATAACATTACATTAAGCTGCCCCAACTTCAAACATGTAGCCATTATTGCAAGTAACCAATTAAAAGCTGCTTTAAACCACAGACATTTTTTTAATAGAGTGTGACCACCATCATCTAACTGATCACAACTCCCTTAACTGAAAAACATGATAGCATGTTGGAGGCCAGTGGACCTGCTAATATGATGGGTGGTTTTGCAGCTGTGCAGTATAGTTCAACCATCTGTGTTCATTCATTTATACCACACATTTCATGATGGCATAATTAATCAATTTGAAACAACATTATCTCATTTATCTGAAATTCTGCCCCTTTATAATTCAAGTCATAAAACAAGTGTAGTCATTTGATGAATTTTCATCTAACTTGGAAATTGCTTAATTAAAAGCCTTGAGTGTTGTTCATTTTTAACTTCATGTTTTCTATATCTTACCCTTGCTGGAGTGTGAATAGGTGCCATACTATCTAAATCTGTCATTGGGAACTCAATTCCTTTGCTTTTCAATTCCTGGTAAACTTTTTCTACCTCTTTCAATTCAACAGCACCTTTAAAAGCATCAGACCAAGTCTGAAATATAAAATAAGAACCTTTAAATGTTAGTTGTACAAACTTGATGGCTCAAGTACAAGCGGAGCTGTAACACATAATTGTGGTGTTCTGGTTCTAAAAATAAAGGACTCAAATATTTTAACAAGGCTCAGAATTACCTGTATTAAACTCAAAATCTTCTCTTGGATAACAGTCGGAGGGTCATTCTTTGGTCCAATTATCTTCACCAGCTCATGTAAAAAATCCTTGTTTGCCACAAGAATGTGAAATCTTTTGCCACAGTTTTTCACACATGTCTCTAGGACCTAGCAAATTATAAAATGTTTTATACAATGATTTATTGACAACAAGAGCACAAAGAGCCCCCCCCCCAAAAAAAAAAGGACCAATGTCCACATGTATTTCACAATTTAAAAAATATTGAGACAAACTTAAGCTATGTGTCAACACCAAATAATTCGAGTACACATTTTGCTTTCAAACTGACATTTCATGAAATAAATTTAATGCAAAATCAACAATACACATACCGAATATCCGTGATCTTTATAAATATATGTATTATTACTTTGGCAATGCGAAAACTCTTTTCATTTGACACCAGTGGTGCAGATAACGACTGAATGCCACTGTGTGAGGCAGCAATGTGAACTGTCATGACAACACCAATGTCTTCTTATTCCTTACCGTCAGGGTGTACATCACCACCGTCCAGTTCTTGCCAACATTATTGGTCAGTTTCTTGCGCAATGCCTTGATGGCATCTCTGGGGCTGGAATAAATAAATGTCTTTACAAATTTGTTGATATAATGTATTATTTGCACATAAATATAATTTACATTACTATTAGAGCAGTCCTGTAGCTAGCAATTTCAAAGGGGCTCCTTTTTCTGAATAAGTGGACCTTTATCATTTATCTCTTTAGTAGACCCAACTTGAGAAATGGCATAGTACCTAGTTCTCCAGATCAAATTTTGTTTCAGCACAGACCTTTTCCTATCAAAACTATGGTTCTTTTTAGCCCCTCCACCCAAGTCTAGAGGGCAGTAGAAGTTATAGTATACTAAAATTTATTTTGAGACCGAGGCGCTTTGTTATATAATAACCATCTCTGGAACATCTATGGATATGATATCAACATAATCGATAACACCACTGATATTCTTCTTCATCACTTAAGTGTCTAAGAATTGTAGACCTTTGTGTAATTCTCCACAAATATTAATCAGATCAATATCAAGACTTATAAAATAATATCATTTATCCAGCAGATTGTGAACTATTTGAGAACATCTATGACTAGAAATTAATCCAATCAATAATATGAATTATATCACATGTTGCCCAGCCTGCAATGTCTAAGAATGTAAGGCAACTGTCTACAGGAACATTTTCAAAAATCAATAATGTGAATTATAGCTTAATTTTAGTTAGCTTGAAGCAGCACTCAATAGCACTCACATACTAATAGCTCAGTTCCAAAGCATTCTCGATTCCTACTTTTTATACACATTATTCGTAATATAACTTATAAGCATACACCCCATTCTAAATCACTTTCATATTTTACCATTTATCAATTAGGAAGAGCTGACTGAAGCTCCCAACATGTCATTCATGAAAATATGCCAAAATAAAGAGTCACAGAAAACATGAACAATTTAAAAGTTAACACTCAGTGTAAAAGTAAATCTGATTCAAATTCTGTACATTTTGAAGTTTAATGTCCTGTACCTAATTAAGTCTATTATTTTTGGCAAACCTTTAATCCAATATTGATAAGTCCTTAAACTTACCCTTCATCTGTTTCATTGATTATGTCACATATCTCCATGTTCAGGGCCCAGTTCTCAGATGCCATGGAGGCATCAGTGGCCTGGTCTGTAAAAAAATAATGGATTAACAAATTAACATATTTCTCTGTAACATTTTGAATTTTACGTTAGTCCTAAGAGAATGTTGACATTTCAATTGCCTACGTGCAACACCTGCATCTATAAATAACTGTTATCAAACTAAATGCATTTAAGGAAATGCTACTTCCACGATCCATGTCACATATCAGTTACACCTGGTACTTTGTCTTTTTCCTCTACACGTAAGCATGTTGATTATTTATCTGAAGTAACTTGGTCACTTGCTGAGAATAATCTAACTCAGATCATTTTATCTGCCAAAACATGTTATATTTGTGAGAATACAAAGTACTGCTGAATAAGAATACATATATCTTATGAATATTAAGTGATTTTAAAATTGCACAACTACCTTTACATAAACGATATCATTTAATACAAAAAAAGGCATTGAAAATGAACCTGCTGCAGGAGCACTCTTATGGAGTTATCATAGTTGCTATGTCTTGAAAAAAATACATGCATCAATCTTTAAAACTGAACCAAATATTTTACTTTGTCATGGTAAAGTCTTATGTTTTTGTGATATTCCCATGCTTATACATGTCTCCAATGCTATCCCCTACTATTTACATTTGTGAATGTAAATGTGTTAACTTTTCATAGTATTTTTAAACTCTTTCGTAAGCAGCCAAATAACATTACATGAAAAATTATTTTTTGATTCACATTGATAGTTAAATTAACACTGATGATTATCTAGTACTTACTAGTATGCTGCTATTCAACCATGTCTTTTGGATTTGGTTGAAAATTCATTATGATTTATCCTATATATATATCATAATTAGGCTATCAACTCAACAAATTTTTGGTACTTTTAAAGTACCTCCTCCCACATCCTACTTAGAACAAGTTTTCAAAATTCAGTTATGTGGTAAATTTGACAAATGTCTTTTCTATTCAAGTAGTTTGGATTAGTTTGGCAATTTACTAACATTCTTCAAGCTTTTACAGTTAACTTATGCCCTGTTTGAACAAAAAAGTTACAAAAAATTTTTACCCCTGATATAGCCTCAACTCTCAAAATTTCATACCTGTTATGTTCTATTTATTGCCCTAGTAGCTCTTCATATGACAGATGACATTGACCTGATTATACATTTATGTTTATAAACAAATCATAAAGTCATGTTATCAGTATCGATTACCTAGAAAAATATTTTGCTTTTATATCAGCTTATTTTCTTGTGAATAACTCATTTCTCGTGTCCAGAGTAGTTTTTCCAGTATATGATATTGCATTGCACCATATTGCACATTAAAATGTGACTCCATAAATGGATCCTCATTAACAGCTCTGTTGACAGCAAGACTGGTCGACTTTTCATGAGTGGGCGACTTGAAGAGGTGAGAGTTAGACAGATTTGAGAGCTTCCATTATATGGTCGACACACAAATATTTATAGACACCTGTATCTTACGTAAGTTGGCACAAATAGTGCATATCAGAGATTCTAAACAGGAGTGCATGAAACTTGCACTACCATAATATCTGAAAGGGGTTGAAGTTTCTTGTTAAGATGCATGATATTCTGTAATAGCAAAACATTAAAAATCAAAGTCTTATAGAATTGGGGGAATACTGCAGATGTACCAAATTTTCCATCTCTGAATTTAGACTAGAAATCTTGGTGACATGGACAAACATTGGCTGATGGCTCAAAAAGGTGCAACTAATCCCTTTTTCAAATCTTATTCATGGAATTTCACTTTTGCATCACAAATTGTGACATGAAGGCTGTTATACCCCCGTGTCATTTAAGGCTGTGACTCAGATTATCACATCAGGTGATAAAACAACCTCCATTCAGATTCACAATTGTACTTAATGCCAACAGCTTTCAAGGTCGCTCCATTTTGGGTAAAACGCAGTTACAAATTCAACATTCTGCGTTGTCTTAAATACAAACATGCATGCATATTTGACCCAGGATGACAAGTTTAATGTTTGCTGCTTCGAAGCAGCTCTGTCTCGCAGATACACTGACAATATCGCCGGTCAGATTGGATGTAAACATTGAGGATAATTTAGTCTTTTCAGAAATACCGCTCGAAGTTACCTCAATAACCCCATACCGCTAGCAAATATACAAATATTGCTATGCATTCCACGTGATTTTTATAAGTTACTCACCAACCCTCTGTCCCACCGGGGTGGTAAAGGGATTTCCAGCGAAGAACGACATCTTGATATTGAGAGATGAGATTAGTGAATGACGTCATGTCACATGATTTCTCGAATCCTCGTCAACTTAAAACGAATTTATTTATCATTACTAGTGCCAAAAAGAAAAGAAAATAATTTAAAAAAGTAATAATATCTTATCTATAGAGGGTTTTGAATTAATAAAATAAAAAAACATTTCGAGACTTTCGGGTAATTTAAACCATCACCTTGACAACAGGCGCCATATTAGAGGACTTCGAATACGACGATTTTTTCAAAGCAAGGTAAATTTCTTGTTTTTATTTTAATGCGACTCGTATATTTCCATAAAATTTCTGTCATATGAAAACGAAAAAAGGCACCCACCTCCATATAGCAGTACTTCTATTTCCCTTTGTTTTTTTTACGTGAAATACATTAGCACATAAATTATCCGTATGCACAAAGTGGATTGAAATGACTGATATCGGCAGATATAGCATTGGCATTTTTTTCTCCAGACTATGCATATGTCAAACCAATAATTTAATTTTTATGTGGACGAGTTGATCGTGTGCACAGAAACTTGACTGAGACAAAAGTTTTCAAGACAATCTGAGTAATCGGCTTCTATAGATGCCTCAGTTTTCGGTCTTAAAACTAAAGTTACATGCATTGCAAGGTTCTTATTGCAGACAAGGCCACATAACACCTATGTTACAAAAAACTTAACGTTACATATATCCACATCCTGGTTTCACTGTGTGTCCTGCATTGCACTTTAAAGCATGTCATTCACAAATAAAGTCATTTTGTATCGGTTTATGAACAAGTTTGATAACATTTTACTCTTTTTATTCCAGTTATCCAAAAGTGTTTCTAAGCGTGTCATTTGTAAGTGATACCACATATAGTTAGGGTTTCTAACATAGGGTGATAGAGGTCTTACCTGCATTGCATGTCAGACCAAAAACTGAAGAAGTCTTTACTGTCTAGCATTCTTCTGGAGGTAATTTTTTAAGTACATGTATAACTCAGTGGAAGGATTTTATATTGATATTTGTGCTTTAATTAGTAGGTACTGGAGTTCCAGTAGTTCAAAATGAGCCGGCTGTATGACACAGTGGAGCCATCTGTGATAGATGATGATATGCTCCATAAAGCAGTGGAGGAACAGGGACCCAAAGAGGAGGCTGGCAGGATTGCCAAAGCTGAGGGAATTGATTTTGCAGATGTCAAGTCACTCAGATTGGATTTTAAAAGTAGGAATTGATCTAAGTTTTTGTTCAAACGCTAATTGAAATTTTCGTTCTAAGCAGTAGTTTATTATATAACTGTAAAAATTTTGATATTAAATGCTGTTATTTGTTTTATTAGACATACGGTCAGTTGTAACATTTTTGATATGTCATGCACATGGTAATATTACCACTTGTTTGATAGTTTCTTGGTTTCAGCAAGCAAGAACCCTTTTGTAATGTAATGTTATATGCATCTAGGCATACTTATTTTATTCATTTTCAGATATTTTGAAGATAGACAATCTTTGGTGCTTTGACAGTTTGACCAAGTTGCAGCTGGACAACAACATTATAGAAAAGATAGAGGGACTAGACACACTGACCAACCTGATATGGCTAGGTAGATATATTATTAAAAAGTAGGAAAAGTTATGTTTGTTTGATGAATCAATGAAATTATGCCAATCCCACTCTTCTCGGCTTCTTTAATGTTGTAATTTCTATATAAATGTAAGCTAAATCTTCATAGGATGTTGATAAGTGGTAGAATAACATTTGCTATGGCAAACACATTTTTATTTTTCAGACTTATCATTCAACAACATAGAAGCTATTGAAGGCTTGGAGAAATTAACAAAACTCCAGGATTTGACATTATACAACAATAGAATTTCCAAAATAGAAAACATGGACTGTCTACCTGACTTGCAGGTCTTCTCTATAGGAAACAATGAATTGGATGAATTAGAAAATGTAAGTTTGTGAGAAAACTAAAGCCAGGAAAAGATTTAATTTATTAAACAAATTCAATGCTCTTTAAATATACTAAAAACTGAAATGCTGTACAAAATATTCCCCATAAATAAATGAAAAGAATTTTTACATTCAAAATAATATTGTTTTGAAATTTTATCAGAAACTGAAAATCTGCACTTATTGATATCTTTAAGAACCTGTGTAATATCATAAGGTGGTTAATTGTTGAAAACTGAAAATCATGGACCACCTTTTATGCATCTCTTTCATTTCTCTTTCAAAAGTAAAATTATTTTCATTCTGTATTGGTACCATTTTGTCATTACAGCCCATGCATGTGGTTTTCCTTTCTCATTACAGGTTATTTATTTAAGGAGATTCAAAAGACTGAAAACTTTAAATTTGAATGGAAATCCATTTTGTAAAGTGTGTGTCCAGGAAGAAAACCCAGAGGATGGTTCAGAAGCTGTGTATACTGAGAATCAAGACTACAGACCATTTATCATTGCATATCTCCCATCTCTAGATTATCTTGACTACAGGTTAATAGATGAAAATACAGTAAGTGAATCTCATGGCAGACTATGCTGTAGATTTTTTACTGAAATTCTGCAATGTTAGGAATCCTTATCAGTTAAGCATCAGTCAGCTATAATATAATATAATGTTAAAATTTCACTAAGATATTTCAACATTCGTATTTCTCATTTTATGGGTTAACTCTTTTTTTTTCACAGCGGGCTGCTGCAAATGAGAAATATCACTTAGCAATTGAAGAACTTACACACAACGAAGAAGTGGAAAATAAGAAAGAGGAAGAGAGGCAAGCCAAAGAAAAAGAACACAATCTACATAAGGTGAATGTTTGAATACTTGTGTTAGTTGTCATCTAGCACTGTTGTAGCAGTGTCCATTCTGACGCCATTCATGATTGTAATGAATTTGTTCTCTGTGATAACATGTCTTGATGTATCACTGTCCTGATCTTTACCACTGTTTCCAAAGTAATCTTGTTGCCAGTGTTGTGTGTCATTTATTATTATTATTTTGCAAGTCTTCACAATTGTTATTGTTGCCAACATCAACAAAATATTTTTTCAGTTGGAAAGAAACATATTTTTTTCTTCTCTTTGAACAGATTCTATTTTCAAACAGTGCTTTTGTATTAAATGTGCTTTTTCTATGCTTTTAAAATTTTTTCTGTTCTACATAATATAACAGATATATAATTACTGTATTTTATAGGCTGCCTATGTTGAGAATATGGATGGCCCTGCATTGTTCCATGCTATGTACACAGAAGATGCTGAAGGACAGAAACTGGCTGACATGCCTGGGGTGGATGAAATGCTTGTTGTATATCCTTTTATAAATCTTTTTGTTTTTTTTATCAGCATTTGAAAATGTTTTTTTTTTTTAGTATTTTATGATCTTCTACACTTACATCAAAGAAAGTAATTTATGAAGGTTGACACTATTATACAGACCATTTTGTATTATTATTAATTTTATAGACTGTTGGCAAATTATTGCTGCTTTATATTTTCACCTTTGTGTTCATTTTTTCTCCTTGACTCATTTGTACTTATAAAGAAAAGTATGTGGCTACATGTCACCAAATATTTGAATATGGTCTCCAAGAGCATGAAAGACGAATGGAGGAAGTTAATCAGTTCTGGGACTGCATTGAAGAGGCAAAGAGGGAAAACAAGGAAATGGGAATGAAACAGATAAACCAATTTATGGAATATAAGAAGAGGGTGAGCATTGCAAATATAATTAGTAATATAATCAGTATTATTGGTGTTTTCTGATGCATTTGATGATGCTGGATACAGTTATGTTATACAAGTGAAGACATTTCATACAACACCAGAAGACTGACCACTATACTGGGCATACAGTAACAGCTAATGAAATTTGATATTCTCCAAAAATTTTTTGTTGAAAATTGTAAAAATACATTTGGCTTTATATCAGAGGGTACTTTTTTGAGTAAATAAAAATCATAAATCAAGAAAAAGGAAAACACAAAATGGGTGAAGTATTGGAAAATATTTAATTTTTCAGCTGTTCCAAGAGTTAACACATCTGACAGACCAGCAAGTGTTGGATAACAAGATCACAGAGTACAACAAACGTCTCCAGGAACTGTGGGATAAACTAATGGGACTGGAGCTACAATTGGTGGATCAGTTAGAGGTATAAATTTACCTAGGCATTAATCAAGAAAAAAATAATAATTAAATGAGTGTATTTCTAAAATGTTTTTAATGGTAACTTCTTTTATGACACGAAATTGCTATATGGCAAAGACGATACAAAGTTGATACTAATCAAAGACTGATATATCCTCAAATTTAGGAAGCCACCAAGGACTTTGAAAGAAATCTGTCCGATTTGGTCTCAAGTTTCATAGAGAACTGTCAGGGTCACATTTCTGCCCTGAGAGACCTGGAGAACATACACCATGAGAAACTACTGGAAATATCTATTGTCACCCTGGAGAAGGTAGTGAAGAATGAACTGGATGAGGAAATCCCGGAAGATCTCAGACTGGTAAATCTTATTTTCAAAATGTTTACTCTAACTAAAGCCAAGTTTACACGTGATTAACCATTTGCTTCTTGTGTCAATCTTTGTAGTGTACAGGCATTAGTGCAGTATATTTATAACTTTCCAGTCTAAATTGCACAACACTTTGCAAAAGAAAAAGCTACATCATTTTTTAAACTGATGGTAAATTTGGCAAAAAATCTTGGTTAGAATACCTCCCATTATGCAAATGTTTTGTTTTAATGTGCAATTAACTGTAAGTGTAACTTAATTTTCCCTTCTTTTCAGTTGTTTGTTGACAAGGACACAATCATCAATGCAGTGAGTAGTTCTCATGATATCCACTTACTAAAGATAGACAACAGAGAAGATGACATAGTGACCAGGATCAACCAGTGGATGTCACAGCTCATGACAAAGATACACGAGGAAGAGGAGGTGAAGAGAAATCGAATGAGGGTGTCAGAAATAAACAATCTTATTGACCACTTGCGAGAAGAGATGGATACCTTGGATCTGCAGCTTGGATATAATTAAATCTCTGAGAAGCATAAAATCAATGGCAGAGCTGGTATTTGAAGAGGCATTTCCTTGCCTTGGTATTTATCTGTGGTAGGATGCAATGACTGTTTGAAAGATGTTTTGAAGTCTTTACATGCTGCATGTTACATAGGAGAATAAACTGTTGTGATCCATTTTATATGGTGGTTTTCCAAGAATAACTGTGATACATGTACCCCTGGCAACTGCATTTCCTGGAATTAAAAATTACATCAAATCCCAGAGCTTCATCGGAGGTCTGCCTCTATGAACATGGTTTAGTTCAGTAAATATGTAACATACAAATATCATCATTGTACTCCCATTTCTAGTAAAACTTGGGTGAAACATAGTTTTCTTCAGATATCAGTTTATGTATAACGTCTTGCTTGGTTGCTCTTTATCATTCTTGAAGATGTAATATGAATGCACTATGATAACAATGTGTAAATATTTGTAAAATATGTAATAATAAGATAAGTACATTTGTATTAAATATTTTTTATTAAAAATAACATATGGGTTGTCTGGCTTTTATACCCAAGTGTATCCATTTAAAAATTTTAGTCCTGTCCAAAACAGAAGTTGACAAAGAAACATTAAACAAAATTGCAACAATGAAGGCCTTATTACATTTGGCATGAAGAACTGTTACTGATTAACCAGTAAAAGCAAATGAACTGATTCATGTAGTATGTACAGATTGTGTGACTTTATGCAACTTATAACAATACCATCCTATCTAAACAATCCATGACGGTGAAAGCTAGTCATTTTGCGAAACATTCTAGATTTTATCTAAAATGACATCAGAAACGATACAAATGCCTGATAATTGAGCATTTGCTATACATACCTATTTGTCACAAATTCCTTTTGATACACTGCTGTTACATCAGGAAAAATTAAAACTGTAACATAATGACTAGCATGGATTATATCACAGCAAATATTAAACAGTGATAAAGGAAAAAGAATATAAAAATCTGGAAGTACATAACTAGACAGCAAAAGCTGGCAAACATACAGATACTAGATCCAGCACAAATTTTGAGAATACATTACCAGGAGTCAAAATTTAACTAAACCCAAAGAAATGAGATAAAACCTGTTACAAAATGCTTACTTATGTTTATTTAGAATCTGACTTGAAGTCAAAGTGTGCCAATTTTTCCAAACAGTTTTGGATTCTTCGCTATGGTTTCACAAATTAATCTAAAGAAAAATAGTAATAATAAAGAATCAGTTATTTTTGTAAAAATGATCCAATCGAGTCATTATGCTAATCTTCAATCTTGACATGCACTTTTACTTTACTGAACAATACCTACAGTCATTTAGAAGTTTTAAAAAATGCATGGTTTCACTGTTTGGCAGTAAGTGAATAAACATGCTGGACAGCAAGTGTCATGGCCAGACAAGTGATCTGAATGTGTTCACATTAGTGTCTGTATATATAAATATTTGCTAAATCCTCAGAAATTATTTAAAAATGTCTTAACAAATAGCTTTAAGGCTGGTAAGCCACATTAATTTTCACAAAATAAAAATAACTTATAGAACAGTTGTGTATCCTTCTGCCCTACTGGAAGTGCAGTAGTTCCCATCTGGAAGAAATTTTTTTTCATGCAAAGTTAGAAACTAAAAATGGCACAATTTCTTAATCTTCTGTTTTAAAATAATTTCTGCTGTTGCCTGCATAAAACAACAGTTCCAAACATGAGAAATAGATTTCTCAGAGGATATAAACCAAACTGGAAAAACAAAACATCTCTTCTCGTATCTTGTTGTGCCTGACAAAAGGCAACACACAGAGGAAAACAAGCTGGCAAATAAATTCAAATCTTCCTTTGAAAGTCATTATTTTATAAACCAGCTAATTCATTACTGTGGCAAAAGAATATTAGAATTGCACTTTTGTTTCTTCGTTGGGGACTGCCCCAAACCCAGAGCAGACATGAAGATCTGACGATTGCTAATCTTGTTACTGCACTTGTGGAAAATTGGGAGTGACATACTTTTTGTCCCTACATTTCCATTCTGTACACAATAAATACATACATCCCCTGTATCATGGCAGTCAAAATTACAGGCAGTCAGATTTACTACAATTCCCCGTCCACATAGTCACTGTTATCTAAATTGGTAGATGGCAATACTCTTCTCTGGTACATGAGTGAGATTCAGAGACTGGTACCTGGAAATTAAAACAGAACAGATGCTGAATACCTTAAACACCAGTGCCATAAGTGTTCGAGAACAGTAGCAACATAACAGTTAGTTGACACTAGGCTATTTCTGACCACAGAAGACTACCATAAGATATATTTAGTTCTCAAAGCCTTAAATAGCAATGCACTTGGCTACAAATAAAATAAAAAAAAAAAGACACTTGCTATTGACATTTATAACCCAATTAATTGTAATTACCACTCCGAACTCCTGTGATAGTAATATCCCTCTATGGTTGCTGTTGACTTCTGAAAACAGATATAGTAGAATCCAGCAAAGGAGGCTCCACTAATGTCTTTGATAGTGTGGTCTGGAACCAGGAAGTGTTCCTGTAAAGAATGATTAAGCATAGTCATATCTCAAATTAATTCACTTTTAAATATTTCAGGTTAGATACCATAACTTAAATGCAAATGTACAAGTACCAGGGATTATGAACTCATTTGAATTACAACCATATCGTGTAATATTAACATACCATTCTCCATGTTTTACAATTAGTGTTTTCATAATGAACACACTGTAATACTACAATGCAGAGTGTCTTTGGTTTAATTTCTTTATCTATAAGGTTTGTTTTAATTTACTAGTAAGTTGACAGTTACCTTCCATCGCATGAAAACAAAGTCTGTGTTTTGCAGATCTTCATAATCAAAAGTATCTGAGTTAAATGTCTTGGCAAACTGGTAAAAGGATAAAAACTTGCCCTAAAACAAAGATCTATCTATTACAAATAGTCAACTGTAAGTGTTCATACAAACATAAACAATATCCTTGCTAAAAATTATTGTATCTACTAAACATGATAAAAGATACTGTTAAATTATTAGATTAATGCCCTTTTCTAAAAGGTCAAAATGTTGTATGTGATTAATTGGGAAAAGCACCTTTAGTCTCTTTTTACTGTGAGAAAAGATAAACAATTAAACACAACCTCTAAAAATGTGTAGCTTAAAAGAAAGTTGCCCCATATTCCCATACCCAGTGTTTTCTGTCCACGTCTTCATCAGCCTCCCACTTCCTGGTCAGGAATGGATGTCTCTTGCTGATGATTTCACCATCAAAAAAAGTTGTCAGTGTGGGAAACTCTTCTGTCAAGCCTTTGATTTTTAAATATCCACACAAGTATGAGTTGTTTAAGTCAACGTGCTAAAAGTAAATAAAAAAATTGAAAAATATTTTAGTTGGTTTTTATTTTTCCATCTGATCTTAAAGTCTCCCCAAGCAGGTTTCAGCAAGATAGCAGTCCTTGTTTAAGCCACTGGTCAATCACTATCTAAAAAATTTTTTTTTGAAAATTAACTGGCCCACTAATTATTTCAGTTACATTTGAGAGCAGTGTTTAACATGACAGGCTGCGATAGAATGAGAGTTCCAGATGGCAGAAGAGTCAAGACCCACAACAAGCATATCACAATTTCTTATGCTGATGATTTTTTTTTTTTTTTTGGGGGGGGGGGGGGGGGGTGGGAGGTGATTAAATAAAGGAGCTGCAATTTTATCATGCTTCTCAATGCATTGACAATGACAGTTTGAATAACAACAATGATAAACAATTTCATATATGAAAACCACTTTTGCCAGTTCTGACAGTTGGCTCAAAGAGGATTAGACTCACTTTCATGGAATGACGGGCCAAATAATGATAGGAGGTAGTGATACCAGTGTCGGATTTGGGTGATAGACTTACATTATAAGTTACTATAAATTATAATCACCACCTAATAATCTTTACTTAAGAATTCTAGGGCATGTTTAAAAAACACTTAATGGTAAAATAAAATTCTTCCGGCCTACCTGCAAAATTACTTCAACATCATAACAGTTTCCTTTGCTTTTCTGGTGTCCTTGGAACCTAGACCCGCAGTACAGCAGTGTTGTGGTGACACCGGGTTGTACCGACTTCGCCGGTGGCGGAGGGTCCAATTCAACTCGCACAGGCATGACCGAGAGCCATGAACAAGGAAATATGTATTGTTTATGGATAGTTTTTAAATCTTTAACACGCAAAGGACAACCAACTGTGGCACGCACAAATCCCGCAGAGCCGCCGTTTCGGATTTTTCAAAATGGCGAATAGTTTTAAATCGAGACCACCGCCAGTTTCAAACAGATAAATTGTATGTCAAATATGTCACCTCACTACTCCCGTCACAAATGTTACAAATAAATCAGTCAAGATGGTTCTTTATGTTAAATATGTTTTTGTCCTTCCAATAAAGTCCGAAATAATTCAATTTCCTGGTTTACGATCAATACTGAGACCGAGGCTACTAAGAGGACAGGCACGACTTCGCATCTTTTCGTTGCCCTGTGTGCGAGCGAACTTTAATCTAGATCTACGGATAACAAAAACAACAACAATAATGATGAAAATAACAAACATTTATTCTTTCATTAGGCATTTCATTTTAAAATCTCTTACCGAGTGACAGAATATTGCCCGGGGTATTTTAAATGACAATTTGAGAAGGATAAAAAAGACAATTATATATAGAGCGAAATACCTGTCATGTGTTGCCGTTTTCTTCTTGCCCGAAATGCCGTTTTTTCTTAAATTGACGTAGGAAATTTACTGTAATAAATGAAAGACGGGAGGGCTTGCTGCGGTTGTCAACATGTAATTTATTTAAAATAAAATAAATAAAATAAACCCTTTCTTTAATATGATTGTTCTGCTGCGACAACATTATTTCACAAGTTGACGACTGGAACAGTAAATACCCATTTCTAGTCATCAGCACATACAAAAACTTCGAATTTATAAAACATAACTGTAATAGACGAAAGCCAGGAGGGCTTGCTGCAGTTGTCCACATGCTATTTATTAAAAATATAATAACTAAATTTTTCTTTAACATTATTGTTCTGCTGCCATTATTTGACAAGTTGACAATGCCTGGAACAGTAGATACAGATTTCTAAACAGCAGCACATATAAAAACTTTGAATTTACAAAACTTTACACTAAAGTTAAAATTAGAAAATAAATTATATAAAGAAACAGAGAGAAATGAGTCAAAATAAGAAAGCATACTATGGGCACAAAATATATTCTATGAAATGGAATTCTGAACTCCTTTTTAATACTTAAATTCCCTTTCTCTCTCAACTTCACCATTTTCATTCAACCACTTCACTCATTCATTAGATTATCCAGAGGTTTTCTAGATCATCTGAATTTTGGTGGTCCCAATCAAAATCCATTACCATCTTTCATACAGTAACTCAAATTTCTATTTTCTTTCAACAACTATATAGTTGATGTGTAAGACATTCAATATGGACCTGTATACTACTCAAAATATATATATATCACAAAATCCACTTTATTTTCATTCAAAATGAGTATCCCAGCCTGTAAAGTGTGATTTTTTTTATAAGTAGTAGAATGCTGATGACCCAACAACAGAGAAAAATCAACTCATTAATTCAGGATTCACATTCAAATACCAACAATCACTTATTAAGTCGTCATTAGTATCAGTCTGTATTTATGAACACTGTTGGTGTCTTCTTTCCAAAAAGTTGACCAATCCTTTGATAATTCCAAGTATGTATTTAGCAGCTTATAAAGCTCTTCATTCCAGTCACTGCTTTGTGAAATCTTTATCAAGGTCAGCCCTTGTTCTCTGGATGTTGTATCTGTTTCTCTTTAGCCTGTCTTCAACAGAACTCTGCTCAGCATGTTTAGTCATCATGGGGCTAGAACAAAATGAGGCAAAACATTTACTCAACATTCACCCAACATAAAAATTCCAAGATAAAAACAATGTTACTGAAAGGCACCTGGGCTCCAGTTGTCTAACAAGGCAAAATCATTTGGCTATATGATTGCATCCATTTCTTGCTTGACTGCCAGCCTTTTTAGGCACTGGCCCCCAAGGAAAAATCATTTTGAACAATCACAACATGCATATTTTCTTGCTGTGGTGTAATGTGACCATATCAAAGGGAGGGGAAGGGGTGAATTGCATTGAAAACTAGTCTCTATAGTTGAAACAAGTTCTTTCGAGTTTTGGGGTCCTGAAGGTTTCATTCAGGATTGCAAAATAAGAAATCTTGATTAAACATTGTAACATTTGAAATCCACATACTTGAGAAAATTATCCCCATCGCCATGCTTGATCCTGGTTTCTTCTTCTTTCTTTTCTTCTTCCCTGTAGCGTTTCACATTTTTGCTCCTTTGTTCTTCACGCCATTGTGCATTTTCCATCATTTCCTGGCGTCTGCGTTGTAATTCATCTGAACTAAGTTTTCTGTAAACAAGCAAAAATTTTTTAAAAGAAACTATCTTGTAAAATCATAAAAAATTCAACCTTGAAGGTAACTAGCAAAAGCTCAAGTGGTAGAAATTAAAGTAGCATGTACAACTTTCCATTATAACACCTCTTTCGAACAATGAAAACCAAATGAGTTACAGGCACTTAGTGTGACCTAGTGATATAATTGGTTCTCTGAATACTACGTTGACTCACATACGTCTTAAAATCAGCAAAAAGCTGGATGCAAAAGGACATCGGTGGGTAGCTGCTCTTTGCAATTACGACTTTGTGATAAAAGTATAGAACGGGGCAAGAAAAATGCAGATGCCGATGCACTGTCCAGAATGCCGAGAGTTCCAGCAGGTGAGTTCAAAGAAATTTCAACAGAAGTGGTTAAGGCCATATGCCAGAAAGTAGATACAGGGTATGTTGAAACCCTCAGCATGTCACAGCATGTGTTAAATGACACTGACGTCATGAATGATAATATGACACCCGTAGACTGGAGAAAAGAAGGTGAGCGTTTTTCTAAGGGCTGTAACCAACAAACAAAAAACCAAATCCTGAATTTAGATGATAAGGGAGTGTCACTCTTGGAAAGGAATTTTCTCGATTGGTTGTGAAACGTGGTGCACTCTACAGGAAAGCTGAAATTAAAGGTGAGCAAATTTTCCAATTAGTACTACCAAAATCTTTTAGAGAAAAAGCACTGCACGGCGTACATAACGACATGGGACACCTAGGAAAAGACAGACGCCAAGCTTTACTGAGAGAGAGATTCTACTGGCCAGGTATGTGTAAGGATCTTGAGCAGTGGATATCTTTGTGCGACAGATGTTTAAAAAGGAAATCATCAACAAACGTGCGAGCGCCTCTGGTGAAAATTGAGACATTTCAACCACTCGCACTGGTATGTATGGATTATCTGACGTTAGGAATGTCCAAAGGTGGTTTTCAACATATATTAGTCATTACAGATCATTTTACTAAGTATGCAGTTGCAATTCCTACTAAAAATCAGACAGCAAAAACTACTGCAGAAGCTTTCATGAACGGATTTGTTTATCACTACGGTTTCCCGCAAAGATTACATAGTGATCAGGGTACAAATTTTGAAAGTAGTCTGATAAAAGAAATGTGCAAGTTGTGTGGCATAGAGAAATCCAGAACCATAAGTTGCCATCCTATGGGGAATGGAATCACCGAGAGATTCAACAGAAATCTGCTTGATATGTTAGGTACCATAGAGATTGATGAAAAGAGTGATTGGAAATCACATGTTACTTCTCTTGTTCATGCGTATAACTGCACTGTGCATGATACAACTGGGTTTTCCCTTTACTGTCTGATGTTTGGGAGACCACCAAGACTAGCTGTGGATGTGGTGTTCGGTTTAGTATCGGGTCAGTACTCGGATACTAATCAATCTGTATATATTTTTAACTTGAAGAAGCATCTAGAAAAATCATATGAACTGGCAACAAGAAAAACGAGACAGGCACAAGAACATCAAAAGGTACTGTATGATAAACGTATAAGAGGATCCGTTTTGGAAGTTGGGGACAGGCTCCTTATAAAAATGGTGGCATACAAAGGTAAGCACAAAATTGCAGATAAATGGGAAAACGAACCATACATTGTTTTAGCTCAACCAAATAGTGAAATCCCTGTGTATGTTATTCAGAAAGAAAATTTTAAAAATGAAAAACGTGTGTTACACAGAAGTTTATTAATTTCTGAGCTTCCTATATCAAATGCGAAAAAGACCCGAACCTAGAAAAAGAACTTCCAAGCCAGACACAAATAAAACGGTAGATGCAGACTGTTCATCAAAGTCCGATACAGAAAGTGGAGACAGTACAAGTGATGGTGAAGATATAGTTTTTCCTCTCCTCGAGGAGGGAGAAGGTAATGAAACAGATGACGTGAGAGAAGTATCTTCAGAGAGTAGCGAAGCTAGTGATGTTCAAATGCCAGAGTATATCACTGTTGACCAACCAACTCCTGCTCCACGGAGGAGTGCTAGACAGTAGAAAGGAGAAGGACACCATATTTGGGCAGTGATCAAACCTACATCATACCAAGGATGACTCCTTTCAGACTGAAGTATTTGCAAATGTAATTTTTTTTTTACCAGAAAGTTCATTGTCAATTTAATTATGTGCCCATCCTCCTTAACCTTAGAAAACAGACTACTCACTTTCTTGGTGCCTCTCTCTTTTCTGGTGATCGTGGTTTTCCTTTCCTAACAGGTGATCTGCTCCTTGATCTTTCTCTCCTAACAGGGGACCTTGACCTTTTTCTCTTTGGTGATCTCCCAGATGTTCTCACTGGTGACCTAGACCTTGATTTTCGGTCTTTTCTTGACTGCAGTTCTTTTTTATGTCTTTCTTTATCAGGTGATTTGTGTCTGCCTTTCTGTAAGATATATTACATTGAAACCATCGAGCCCAATTATAAATGTAAGAACTTCTGACTGTGGAAAGACAAAGATACGAATAATCTAACGTAAATATGCAGTAACATAAATATTTCTTGAAATTGTTCACTTATGGAACTTTTGAAGCTGTCAAAAACTGGAATAAGTTAGCAAAATAAAAATATTTTTCTGAAATACAAACAGAACACGTTTTCATAACTTTACAAGTGATGCAAATGCTTAATCAGAGATTTCAGAAGAACCCACAACGTACAAAGAGTCCATAGTTCTTCCTTCTTCCGGACATTTCTTCTTCACTGCTATAGCCGTCTCTGTGACGTTGCCTTGTATCCTCTTCTGAATGTTTTTTTCTCTGTTCACTAACTTTAGGACCACCTTCATGCTGAGGTTTTCTTTTGTCCTTACTATCATTTTTATGTCTGTTGTCACTTTTAATTTTTTCCTTGCGATTTAAAATGTCTAAGTAAGTTGAGACTAAGTCATCATCACTTGCACTTGTGTCTGAGCCAGATCTGGACTTGTGTTTTTTCTTTTTCTTTTCTTTCTTTTTCTTCTTTTTATCTTTCTTTTGGGATTCAACCTGTAAAAAGAGAGAGGTACCGATACCTTAACTATCAACAAAAAGTATCAGACTAAACATTTTCCACTACACACAGGGGCTGATCCAGAGCTATTTATTGACAGTCTTCCAAATTATCTTTGTTGATTCATCCTCCAATTTTGATTGTCTTCCAACAGGAAAAATTGGATACCCTTCAATGTAAACTTGAAAATCTGACTGTCTTCCGGAGGACCCAGAAGACGGCCTAAATCCGCCCCTGACACAACAAAAAGGTGCTTACTCCTGTAATATGTTAACTATTGGAATTCTTTAGATGAACTTCAACATGAAGATGAAGTCATAACTTTTGAAAATTCTTAAAACCAAATACATACCATCTTTTGCAATTGTTTCATCTTGACAGGATTTTCAATAATTCTTTTCCTCTGTTCCTCTTCTTTTTTTCTACAAACAAATAAAATGTAAAAAGAAAGTTACAGTCTACTTTTTCAAAGCCATGGTGCTCTGAAAGTAACTTGCAATAAAAATGCTAGCAAAAAAGGTTTACATCCATTTATTTTCTCTTTTTTGTTATCTTTCATATTTATAATGTACAATTTGGTAAAATTACTAAATCTACCTTTATCTTAGCCAATTTAAGTAAGAAGAAAAGACTGGTATGAAAATCTGTTCAGTGAAAGGGACTGGCAACAATTTTAAGAAGAGCCCATGTAGAATTTACAGTCAGTGTGGCAAAAAGTCCCTCAGGCCAGCAAAATTTTTTCATAACTGTAGGACAAATGTCTGACTGTTTTACAGTTTTCAGCATGCTTGTGTGTGTGAGTGAGTGAGTGAGTGAATGAGTGAGTGAAAGGTGAGAATACAAATTGGAGTATATTACCTTATGGCAAAGAGAGGATCTTCCCTCATTTTAGCTTGCATGTCAATCTGTATGTTATGTGCTGCTGCCTCCTCAAACAGGGCTCCAACACTGTCTGGAAATAAGAACAAATATTTCAATATTCACTTGCTCAGAAGTAAATCTAGCTTTTGAAGTTAAAAATAAAGAATCTGCAACCATTTTCTTCAATAATGTATGTTAAGAGCTTNCAATTAGAAAATAAATTATATAAAGAAACAGAGAGAAATGAGTCAAAATAAGAAAGCATACTATGGGCACAAAATATTCTATGAAATGGAATTCTGAACTCCTTTTTAATACTTAAATTCCCTTTCTCTCTCAACTTCACTATTTTCATTCAACCACTTCACTCATTCATTAGATTATCCAGAGGTTTTCTAGATCACCTGAATTTTGGTGGTCCCAATCAAAATCCATTACCATCTTTCATACAGTAACTCAAATTTCTATTTTCTTTCAACAACTATATATAGTTGATGTGTAAGACATTCAATATGGACCTGTATACTACTCAAAATATTTATCACAAAATCCACTTTATTTTCATTCAAAATGAGTATCCCAGCCTGTAAATTGTGATTTTTTTTATAAGTAGTAGAATGCTGATGACCCAACAACAGAGAAAAATCAACTCATTAATTCAGGATTCACATTCAAATACCAACAATCACTTATTAAGTCGTCATTAGTATCAGTCTGTATTTATGAACACTGTTGGTGTCTTCTTTCCAAAAAGTTGAGCAATCCTTTGATAATTCCAAGTAGGTATCCAGCAGCTAATAAAGCTCTTCATTCCAGTCACTGCTTCGTGAAATCTTTATCAAGGTCAGCCCTTGTTCTCTGGATGTTGTATCTGTTTCTCTTTAGCCTGTCTTCAACAGAACTCTGCTCAGCATGTTTGGTCATCATGGGGCTAGAACAAAATGAGGCAAAACATTTACTCAACATTCACCCAACATAAAAATTCCAAGATAAAAACAACGTTACTGAAAGGCACCTGGGCTCCAGTTGTCTAACAAGGCAAAATCATTTGGCTATATGATTGCATCCATTTAATTCTTGCTTGACTGCCAGCCTTTTTAGGCACTGGCCCCCAAGGAAAAATCATTTTGAACAATCACAACATGCATATTTTCTTGCTGTGGTGCAATGTGACCATATCAAAGGGAGGGGAAGGGGTGAATTGCATTGAAAACTAGTCTCTATAGTTGAAACAAGTTCTTTCGAGTTTTTGGGGTCCTGAATGTTTCATTCAGGATTGCAAAATAAGAAATCTTGATTAAACATTGTAACATTTGAAATCCACATACTTGAGAAAATTATCCCCATCGCCATGCTTGATCCTGGTTTCTTCTTCTTTCTTTTCTTCTTCCCTGTAGCGTTTCACATTTTTGCTCCTTTGTTCTTCACGCCATTGTGCATTTTCCATCATTTCCTTGCGTCTGCGTTCTAATTCATCTGAACTAAGTTTTCTGTAAACAAGCAATAATTTTTTAATAGAAACTATCTTGTAAAATCATAAAAAATTCAACCTTGAAGGTAACTAGCAAAAGCTCAAGTGGTAGAAATTAAAGGAGCATGTACAACTTTCCATTATAACACCTCTTTCGAACAATGAAAACCAAATGAGTTACAGGCACTTAGTGTGACCTAGTGATATAATTGGTTCTCTGAATACTACGTTGACTCACATACGTCTTAAAATCAGCAAAGCTTGATGCCACAGGACATCGGTGGGTAGCTGCTCTTTGCAATTATGACTTCGTAATAAAGTATAGAACCAGCAAGAAAAATGCAGATGCCTATGGACTGTCCAGAATGCCGAGAGTTCCAGCAGGTGAGTTCAAAAAAATTTCAACAGAAGTGGTTAAGGCCATATGCCAGAAAGTAGACACAGAGTATGTTGAAACCTTCAGCATGTCACAGCATGTGTTAAATGACACTGATGTCATGAATGATAATATGACACCCGTAGACTGGAGAAAAGAAGGTGAGCATTTTTCTAAGGGCTGTAGCCAACAAACAAAAAACCAAATCCTGAATTTAGATGATAAGGAGAGTGTCACTCTTGGAAAGGAATTTTCTCGATTGGTTGTGAAACGTGGTGCACTCTACAGGAAAGCTGAAATTAAAGGTGAGCAAATTTTCCAATTAGTACTACCAAAATCTTTTAGAGAAAAAGCACTGCTCGGCATACATAACGACATGGGACACCTAGGAAAAGACAGAGGCCAAGCTTTACTGAGAGAGAGATTCTACTGGCCAGGTATGTGTAAGGATCTTGAGCAGTGGATATCTTTGTGCGACAGATGTTTAAAAAGGAAATCATCAACAAACGTGCGAGCGCCTCTGGTGAAAATTGAGACATTTCAACCACTCGCACTGGTATGTATGGATTATCTGATGTTAGGAATGTCCAAAGGTGGTTTTTAACATATATTAGTCATTACAGATCATTTTACTAAGTATGCAGTTGCAATTCCTACTAAAAATCAGACAGCAAAAACTACTGCAGAAGCTTTCATGAACGGATTTGTTTATCACTACGGTTTCCCGCAAAGATTACATAGTGATCAGGGTGCAAATTTTGAAAGTAGTCTGATAAAAGAAATGTGCAAGTTGTGTGGCATAAAGAAATCCAGAACCACAAGTTGCCATCCTATGGGGAATGGAATCACCGAGAGATTCAACAGAAATCTGCTTGATATGTTAGGTACGTTAGAGATTGATGAAAAGAGTGATTGGAAATCACATGTTACTTCTCTGGTTCATGCGTATAACTGCACTGTGTATGATACAACTGGGTTTTCCCTTTACTGTCTGATGTTTGGGAGACCACCAAGACACTTGGTGGATGTGGTGGTAGGTTTAGTATCAGGTCAGTACTCTGATACTAATCAATCTGTATATATTTCTAACTTGAAGAAGCGTCTAGAAAAATCATACGAACTGGCAACAAGAAAAACGAGACAGGCACAAGAACATCAAAAGATACAGTATGATAAATGTATAAGAGGATCCGTTTGGAAGTTGGGGACAGGGTCCTTGTAAAAATGGTGGCATACAAAGGCATGGGCGTAACTAGGCATACGCACGGATGCACTGTGCGTACAATTTTTTGGCCAACCATGATATTATTTTATATAAATTTAGTGTATTTTTCACGAAATATAAAAGATAATCCTCTGCTTATTAAAGTGACCTGTATGTACAAATCCTCTGTATCAATTGTATTGGCACAATGCATTGTTCTGACCCCTCCCCGTCTTGCAAACTGAGGTTAACAATGCCTGTAACCTTAACAAGTCCTATCTTAATCGTCCATTTAACTGGAACTTCCTTTACCTCTTAATTGGAGGGTTCAGTGGCCCTCAGCTCTTCTGTACAATCTTTCTTCAGAATATCAAGCGCATTCTCACTGGCGATATTATCTCAGGTAAAAATCTGCCTGAGTGTTATTTTCAAAGAGCAGCTCGATCCCGCAACCCTAGGGGCACTAGATAAAATCTGGACACCAGGTTTAAGAAGGAGCTAGAGAACCAAAGGAATAATTTTTCCTGCAAAACTTCAAAGAATTTTGACACGGACTTGACCCACCTTACCCCTTCAAACTAACAGGGTGACATGGGCAATTTTTACAAACAAATAATTAAACTTAGATGTATCAGAGCTCTAGATCTGTCGTGTCGTCGGTTGGCTTTGGAAACCATGCATCCACATGTAAGGTGAATGAAACCGTATGTTAGTTCAACTCAGAGGTGGATCCAGGATTTTTCGAAGGGGGTTCCACATATGCGAAGCTAGCCTCCTTTTAAATAAATATACCGTTCTGGGCAATAAGAATATTGAAACTTTTTTAATTGCGAGAATATTTCTGACTAAATGATGATTTTATTATTAATGGAAATAAAGCTGCGATGTTTGGTACACATGCAGGGCCGTAGCCTCCGGCTGGGGCAGCTGCCCCCCCCTTCCTGGGATTTGAGGTGCAAAAAAAAATGATAATAATCGCAGAGGTAAAAAAATAATTGCAAAGTTGGTTTCAATTCTGTGAGAAAATGCACTCATGGCCACAAGACAATCATTCAACAATATGTTTACAAAGGTGTATTGTTTTTAGCCAACTCAGTTCATGCCAAAATGCTCACCCTCCCTTAGGAAATGAAGTCCAATTGGCGTGTTGTGTTGAAAAAATGACTGTACTTATGGCAAAATGAACCCACAATTTCTGACTTCTGATTGAGCAAAAAATAATAGTTAAAATGCACCAGAATGCAGT